GGAAACTATCAAAATTTGGGTTTTCCCAAATCTCCAATTGCTAACTGAAGTAAAATTTCCCAAAACGCTGTTTATGCTGATCTAGATGCTATTAATCCTCTCCTACCACCAGCCTTGAATAAATAGGAATACAAAATGAAATCACTCTTCTGTTGTGCTAATTTACCGTGGAATACAACTCCTGAGGTTATATAGGTTTGTTCTTACCAAAGTGAATAATATCAGAATGGCAAATACAACAAACATCTGATACCCACAAGTGTCTGTTGTAAAGAAAACTGTTATATTCCCTTAACGTAGTGTTAAGGACTCCCACTGGAGCTAACAGATTTTCATCCTGCTCTTAGTATCTATTTGAGAGTGGCTAGAAGGTGTTACGATGCACAGATCTACTCTCTCAGGACTGCCTCCTTCCTTGTTTGGTAATCAGAGTCAAACTCACCAGAAATACTAATCACAGAAATATTAATCACTGTTTTACATTTGTATTATCTTAATCAGGTGACATTACTCAAGACACTTAACTTTTCCACATCATTTACAATGCAAGCTGGAGGGTTTCAAAACCCCCCTGGATTATTAGTGACCTACTTCTAGTGTCTTGGGTATCTCTTGCAGYCATTTGCTATTTACAGCTTTTCAGTCACTCATCAGAAGAGTCATATGTAAAATGGAACACCTAAACTTTGATTCTAAGAATACAGACCTCCCAGGCAAATCAAATAAACCATCCCATGGACTATTAATAAGTAATGGAACCCCAAAAGCCTGATTCAGTCTGACATATTCCATTTGGCAAGAAGAAAATAATTAGCATACACAAAACAACTGGCATTTTCACTTACTACTGAAATAGTTGTTCACTTCTTCACATATCTCAACAAGTATGATCATTTGCGGGTTAACAAAAGTGTTTATGAACTCAAGAACAACAAATAAGCAAAAAAATCACAGTAAAAAAAAAAAAGAAAAAAGAACTAAAATTTTCTGATATTTATTAGTGATAAATTTTTTTTTCCTGTGGATATTGCAAGCCATTCCTTTTAATTGAAATATTTTTCACATACATTTTGCTCGCTTGATTGTTCCACTTCTCACACATATATATCATAAASTACATTGAAGAAAATAAGAAATTAAGAACTACCCCAATGAATCAAAGAAAAATTCCCCTTAGCCCAATACACTGTCTCTAAAACTGGTTGTAGAAAAAAAAATCTAGAAGGATTAGAAGGTCATTAGAAGGAGCATAAGAGCAAAGCAAACATATGTGAAACATTTTTCTAATCCCATTTCAAGTCCAACCACTTCAGCTCAGGAAATTCCTAAACKAGATATGGCCCATACAAATTTGGTAACTGTGAATCTCTCTTCCATAAAATTGCCCATTCTSTCCAATCCACAGAAACTCTCAATATCAAAACATAACTTGATAAAGAGCTTTRCAGGATAAATTTGATAGATGCTACATTCTTATCTGTGTAAAYGTATGTTCTGAAAATTATAAAAAAGGTTTGCCATAAAATTCTAGACAATTTCTAATGCATTTCATCTTCATAGTAATACTCATACTGATATGCACTCCCACTATTCCTGAAGATTTTTAGTAGAGGATTTCTGGGCTTCTGAATCCCAGTGTGGCAGCATTTATGATTACATTGGACACCTCTTTGTAACACAACCCATTTAAGTTAAGAAGAATATTAATATGATATTGCTTCAAATTTTTTAGAAGTAATATGGAAGACAACAATATAACTAGGGTCTTGTAGGAAGGGGTATGTTTGCTAGCTTCACTAGAAGTGGGAAGAGACCAACACTGAGGCTTGTCCTAAAAGAAAATGAATGGGTCTCTATATAAGCTGTGTGATCTATAAAATGCTTCAGAGCATTTTTAACTGAAATATGCTGCAGGCATACAAGAATTTTGTTTTAAGATTTAAAATTCATGTRGGAATTGCTTCCAAAACTAAATGCAGTATAGATGGGCATCAGTTCCTATAAAAGCCTTGTGCTGCAGTAACTTCAACCTGATTTATCTTTCTTGGCTTATATCCTAGAAACAGGTTGGAGACTATCACAGATGCGTTAGGGTATTCTACAAGCTCAGATAGCAAAGTAACTCTATACTATGTTGGGCACCATGATACCATTAAGATGCCAACAAAATTGGAGGAACATCAAAAACAGGCAAGGAAAAATGATTAGAGGTCTAGAGAGGCTAATTCATAAGGAAGATTTAAAATAAATAATTCTATACATCTTGGCTAACCAGGGACTGGAGGATACTATAGCTGTCTATAAACTGAAAAAAAAAAAAAAAGAGCATAAACATCGTGGAAATAGTGTAAAAAAAAAGCTGATGGAGGGAGTTATATGTGGAAGTAATGAGATAAAAATATATTACAGAAATATAAATTGCCAATCAAGGAATATATTAACAAAACCTCTGCATTTTAGAGTGTGCTTCCAAATAAAGAAAGTTATATTATTTATTTGACAATGAGCAAGAAAGAAATACAGGGTGGGTGAAAGACAGCAGGCTGGTATCCCTTAAAGTAGAAGGTCTTTGTAAAATATGTGTGCTAGACAAAAGRCAGTAGTAGGACCAGCTTCCTTTTTAAAGTGTTATATATACATGGTGATCTTAATATCAAATATTTCAGGAACATGGGCTAGTATGGGTTTGGAGCAGCTTCTGACTCCACCCCAAGTAATGCTACAGTAGATATATAACCTAAGGGGCAAGCCCAGTCCTAATCTTTCTGAACAAATCTGAGATGAGTAATAGAGTTACATATTTACAGGTGAGTTCAGTTACACAATCTTCCTGCCCAAAATCTGTCATTTCACACAAATGAAATCTCGGTCATCAAATGTCATGTTGCCACAAGCCCCCATGTGTTCCAGCTCCAGCTAAACTTGTATTAATGACCTAGAATGGTGAAATTTGTCTTGTATTCCTCCTACCACCAAAAAAAAAAAAAAAAAAGTCCTTCTTAGCTAATGAAATAACCGACAAGTAACAAAGACCTCACTCTCTGCCTGATGAGGTCATAAATTTGCTTCTCTCTTTGTAAATATTTTTTATGAGGAACTATGTAAAAAGACAAGAAAAAGTTTCCACTAATGAGGATGGCTTTCACATCATACAGAGAAATCATGATGACCGCCTCTCCACTTGCTCCTCATTGCCCAGGGCACAGATGTGCTCGTTCCTATGCATCAGGCAGAAATGAAGTCACATTTCAGAGACTGCAGAATCACAGAATGGCTGAGGTTGGAAGGGACCTCTAGAGATCATCTAGTCCAAGAAATTCCAAGAACACTACAGGAAATATAATGCAAATAAATAAGACAGAGAACACTAAACTGATTGAATTAATCTTTGTGATATTTGATTCAACAAAGCTCACACTTCTGAAATTACCTCAAGCTGCTGGAGAATTGCCAGTTTGTCACAGAACTTGGCATCAAAATGATACCAACRACAGAGAAACATAGTTAAATATTCTTACCCCATCTATACCTCAATTATCTTTTCTCCTTTCTAGGATCAATTAATCAAAGAAGAAAAATCAAATCTCACTTCTGCAGCACCTGCTCTTCCCAAAGGATAATTTCAGATGTATTACAGATGTGCATTACCATTTCATTACAATCTGGCTGCATTTTAATCTAAAAACTCTTCCTTCTGAAACAGAAGCAAACAAAGAAGACCTTTTATTAACAAATATACTTCAGAGATATGTGATTTATAGTCCTTTATAAAATATTTTTTCCTCCCAGGAAAACATTGAAGAGAAGCAACCCCACATAGATTACAAACATAAGTGGGTTTCAATGACATTTTTATTGTTGTTGTTATTGCTTGATAGAGTAAAAATGAAAATGTGTTCAAAGATGTCTTTATTCTGAACAAACAAGCTTGTAGTAGATTGACATGATGAAAATTTGTGACTAAAGAGGTTACAGTCATTGTATTATKTACATGTATTATGTATCATGTATTATGACTGTACATATTGTAGCACTCCATTTACAACCTTCCATCTCTTCTAAGTAAGCTCAAGTTTAAATTTTTTTAGGTTTCTACAACACTCTCCTAGTTGAACCCAAACCGCACGCCACTTTTGTATGTCCCTTTAGGTAAGAACAGACATAATTACACAACTTGGGTTTGCTGCTGCCTGCACCCTCCTGAGTATCTGTGTTAAAAGATGGCTACATCTAGACTGGGGTCTGTAGGATAATCTGCCTTCCTTCAAGATCAACAGGTAAACYGAGTGCTGCAGCTTTATGTGCAGGAGTATGGTTTAGGGTTGTTCTCCCTTGTCTCAAGTAGTGTCTTCCAAGATTAAAGAGACAAAAAGACAAATTCTCACCATAAGCCTTTGCACTACCTCCCTCTGATGAGGAGGTTGCATCTTCATATTCCCTTCCTTCTGAAACTCTTGGTTCATCGTGACAACTCATTTCATCTTTTGCATGATGAAGCACCTATTTGCCCCCAGATGGTTATTTTATACCTCTCTGCTCTTCCCTTTACCATTAAAATGTCAAACAGACCATCTATTTGCCGATGTAATAGGCTTTTACAACTAAGGGAGGGTGGGTGCCAGGGATTATTAATAGCCTCCCTTGATTAGTTAAGGGAAAGATAAATGTGACACCGYCACCAAAATCCCTGAATATCTGATAGCAGTGAGGAGTGGGTATCACCTGCCGAAAATAGAAAGCACAAGAGAGATTATATAAGTGGGGCTCCCACCCCGAGTTTCACCTTTCCTTAGCTGTCTCCCAATCTAACATTTTCCACCGCGCTTGAGAGACATCCAAAAGGTAAGTAGCAAGATATGTTAACACTGCCACAGCAAGCGTGGATTCACCCGTTCCCAGAGGAAACCCAGAAATTTCGCCTGAAGAAAAGAAGGGGAGAAAAAAAAAAAAGTAAATACGCGATTCTTTCAACACTCCGACCCGTCTGTCTTCCCACAAATAAAAGTCAAAAGAGACAAAGAGGTGCGAATCTTCAAAACACAGAGGAAAGACTTCCCGCAGAGAAGACTTCAAGAGAGAAGAAAGGGCCGTGTAAAAGAAGGAAATAGCTGAACATATTGAGAGATAATAAGRAGAAGAAAAGGAGAAARTGAAAAAATGGAAATGAGAAAATAAAGGAGGAGAAAAAGTGGGGAAAAAAAAGTCAAGAGCAAAGATTTGGTAAACTGAATTTACGAAAGTACTTGGTAGTAAATCAAACCTGTTCCAGGAGTTAAATGCTTGTTTATGCACAGATGATGGTAAGCGATGACATCTAGTTGTTCTCCTTGGCGGGGTCACTAGTTGTGTACAGGAATGTGTCTTCCTTTTTGCAAAGGTCTCTCGGGTTTCTGCTTGTCTGCAACGGCAGCTTCAGTGTTTGGTGTAGAGGCTTCTTGTTGTTCATTAGGTTCTCCATAAATCGTTTGCTTTTGACAGCGGTGGTTTGATCTCCATTTAATTTATTTGGTCGTTTGCTTAGTATGAATATCTTTCTGTTGCTAGCCGGAGGAGGAGCTGATCTACACGAAAGCTTCTTTGCAGGAAACTTGGAAATCCACAATATAGATTCTGCAAAGAGTTCGGGCAGTAAATTTGGCAAAATCTCAGAAATAAAGAAAAACACGTCAGCTTTCTCTGAGAGATGATGAGAAAAGGGTGAAGGGCYGTGTGTGAACCTGCCAATTCGTGAAACGCCTTTTTTATTAGAAWAGCATAATATTTTTAACTAAAGTTTTGACTAAGAGCTTCTAGAAGTTTACTAACTGTCCTTAAAACGGATGTACTACTGAGATTATAGGTCGGACTCTGCAATCTCTGCACTTTTGATCCAAACTGACGTGGCTTTCAGTTTTCTGCTTCTGATCAGCACGGCTTCTCCRCTTCCGAATCTGGGACGTGAAATTAGGAGAAATGTTATTTATACCATACAAATGACCCCACTTAACCTGAAACCTTGTTCGCAACTGTTTCCTCTCCTTTTACAGCTTCACAAGTCTAGGCCTTAGCGGCCTGAAATCTGGGATTAAGGGGGAAAGTGCAGGGGAGGAGGCGGGGGACACAGCATTAGGGATGCGAGGGAGCTCCCGGGCTCCCGTTCCTGAGACACGAGCGGTGAATGAGCTTCAAACGCCACTTAACAACCCGCCTCTGGCTACTTTGCTTGGCCTGAGGCTGTTTAACCCGATTCCTGCCTGTGCATCAGCTCGGCCAGCTAGGGCTTGGGTTACGCGACAGGGCAGCCCTCCAAACGTGCTCCTGCCTCGTCAGCAGAACGGAGCTGGCCCCGAAATGTGAGTCATCCTCCTCAAAATCATCTTCACTCGCTGGGCATCAGGGACCTGCCTGCTGGCAGGGCCATACGAAGAGGCTCTGTGACTCCAAGTGCAGGACAACCCTGCAATGAGTTTGATAAGGTCTGAACAAAAGAGAAGAAACTGTGGTCACCAGTATATTGGTGAGGACAACTGGGAGGCCCAGCTCCTCCGGGGATTGCACCTTTGCTGCATTGAGCGGAGAAAGAAAGTATGTGGATGTCATATTAGACTGGTGACTTCACTGGAAACAAGAAGGGACTTTTCCCTCTTCTCACACTTAAGAAAAAAATAAGGAGATGCCAATTACAGAACATTATGCATCCRGCACGTTTATTTTTCTTGTAAATAGTTGTATTTTCAACTTCATTCTTCAAACAGAGCTCCACCTGAAGCAAGGGACCCGAATACTCTCTTCATTGCCTCCCCTCCCCGAAAAAAACAATGAGGAAAAAAAAAAAAAAAAAAAAAGGAAAGAAAAAAAGAGCCTTGGGGGGCAGCTGAAAGACGAGTATTTCTGTTGGAGATGGAGGAAAGCTTCTCTCTGGGGCTGCAATTCGTCTTGGACAAACACCCCTCCTGCCCGAGCAGATCCTCTTCTGCTGGACATCAGAGGAAGGCGCCTTTAATCTGCAGAGATAGTGTCGGCTCCCGTATCCATCCCCGTTGTTTGTCCTTGGAGCAGACAAAACCTCTCGCGTATCTCAGGAAACAGGATGGGGAAAATCCAAGGGGAGAAAAACGACAGTCCTTCCCACTTTTTTTTTTTTTTTTTTTTTTTTTAAGACCCCAATGTCACCTCCTCCTCCGTACTTCTGTGGCACGCTAATGACTCACTCGTTAAAGCTGAACCTGGGCCGCGAGGAAGGGGGCAAGGAAGAGAGGCTTGCACTCTGAAGGAGCCCTGAGGAATTAGTGAAAGAGTGAAATGAGAGGGAAGGGAGGTGGCTTGTTTTTTTTCAGCTGCCTCCTCCTTTTTTGAGGCCACTCTCTCCCGGTCTCTCTCAGGACAACGGTGCAATTGCGTCAGTGGGAAGGAGCGGTGGTACCGGGCTGCATCTGCYGCTGCCAGTGTAGGGATCCTGCAGCCTCCGCGCTTCCCTCCCCCGCCTTGCCTTACCCGGAGATGCCAATATTCCTGCGGAGATTTGCCCTACTACTGGGCCCTGGCATTGGCTGCCTCAACCTAATGGCTCCTGCCCAAACTCGGAATATAAATTGGACTAGCTGCCGTATTTTATGTGAAAGAAAAAGGGCGCAGTTTCTCAGAGAAGACAAATCTAAAAAATCTATCCGATTTCCTAAATGTTTTGTCCACTCTATCGACAGTTTCAGGCAGCGCCCAATGCCAGCTAAGGGCCCRACCACTGCACAAGAACAACATTTAAGAGCGCTGTCACCTCGCATYTCCTTTCACCATACTATATCATGCAATATTCTGCAGCATATTGTGCATTACAAATGGGATCCGTAGGATTCGCAGGGATGTGCTAATTAATTCAGTGAGGATGATGCTTAATATGGACTGGCCCCAAAGAAACGAGGTCTGAAAGCAGTATGTGTGTGGAGGGGGGTACAAAGGGGGACACTTCTGAAGTGTCTGAACATTAAGACAAATGCTCAAAATCCACTTTTGCTTCCTGGCCTCGAGAGCAGCTTCAAGCTTGGCATACGCTGCAGTTCTCCACTCCTCAGCGGACGTAACTGGTAAAGCAGGTCTTGACTTCCTAAAATGAAGARGATCTGCCCTGCACAGCTAGTCCTCGCACCGCACCTGCGGACTTGACCTTGGCACAACTCCCCTCCTCCCGCCGCCCGCAGCAGCCTCTGGCAGCGCTCCAGCCTTCCCGGGGCTGCCCCCGCTCGCAGCCTCCCCGCAAGCCGCTCCGCACCGCGGCTCGGTGCCTCCTCGCGGGGTGTGCGCGGCGCCCCGCGGGGCGGAGAGCGGCAGCCCGCGGCGCGGAGCCGCACGGCGAGCCCGGGAGCTGGCGCGGGGCCAGCCCTGCCCGGCGCGCCGTCCCCGCGCAGCACTGCAGCTCTGGTCATATGAGCAGGAATGATGAGGGAAGCACTTTTTAATCTGTTCGCACTTGCTTCCCTCTTCAAACAGTTGCAAGATGAGTATGACTGACGTGCTCAAAGCTGAGGATATCAAGAAAGCTGTGGAAGCCTTTACAGGTGAGTGCTGCTTTTTTTCCTCTTTTTTCTTTTTTTTTCCTTTTTTTTTCTTTCATTTTTTTTTCTTTTGTTTTTCTTTCTCCCTCTCCTCAGCAAAAGAAGTGCATTTATTTCAGCTGAGGGAAGATTAGAGGACCTTACTAGATAAAATAATAATAGTAATAATAATACTAATAATTGAGGAAGTGCAGCGAAAGCATGATGGGATTATCAAGTGCAGGGCTGCATTCTCTGCAAAGTTGCGCTGTGCCTTTCAGGGACGAAATGCTCCTTCTTTCTAAAGGAGAGCGAGCGGTAACTGCAGGCAGATTTTGCTACTCGCAACGGGATACTTACAAAGGGAGAAAAGCCCTAGGTCACTCAGGGTGGCTTTTGTCCTGATGGGCGATAGGGTGGTCAGCCAGGACACCGGCAGCTTCCAAATCTCCAGAAATTCAGCTTCAAGTATTGCAGAATTATTTCTCTTTTTAAGGAAGAATCGCTTTTTTTATTTTTTTTTTCCCTCTGGGCACTCCCCAGGTGTTTCTTTCTTTCTTTCTTTTTTTTTTTTTTTTTTTTTTTTTTCCGGGATGGGGCAGGGCACAGCCGTAATACAAGTTAGTGCACTGCCCGGCTGCAGAAGCTTCATGCAGAACAAATGGCTGCAATAGCCAGTAAGACTCTTTGGGATATTCCCCATCCCTCCCCTTCACTCGAGACCCCCGGGGGGCAGAAATCCCCCCGGTACAGTTTCAAGTACTTATTAAGGTTGCTCCCCAAAAAAGTCCCCACACCGCCCAGCACAGCAGCCTCCTCCTCTCCTTGTCTGTGCGATGACCTTCCCGAACAGGCAAAAGCACCAAGTCAGCTCAGCCCAGGAAGCTCAGCAGCCGGAGAGTCACAAGGAGCAACAAACTGCCCTGCTCCATCCAGCAGCTTATTTTTTTTTCTCCCTCCTCGTTAGCTTCCATTGTCCTAGGGAAGTCCCGGAGCAGATGCAAAGAGCAGCCGCTCGCAACAGACCTCAGCCAAGTGCATCCCGAGCGAGCAGGTCGCCTGGGTTTTGTGCAATAGGAAAAGCTGCTGCGGGAATAAGGATGTAAATAAATAAATAAATAAATAAATAAATAAATGAAATCCCACAGCACGACTCGGAGGTCACTGCACCGGGCTTCCCTAACACCCGTCCAGGTGTTGTCCGCTAACAACCCTGCGCGGGTGGGGACAAAGGCGGGCGCGGTGAAAGGACAGGAAAGGTCGCGCACCAGGTAAGCTAATTCATCTCCCCSCCAGTGCCCGGGGCTCCTGCCTCTCCCCGGTCCTCCTGCTTCACGAGGGCTTGGAGGCAGCGGCGCGCTCTCCATCGCAGGCTCCGAGCTTGCGAGGCGCTGCCGCACATGCCTTCAGTGGCAGAGAGGCAATGCTGACTTCCAGGAAACCTTCAGGGGACACGCAGAGGAACGAAATGCGCGGGCGCTCCGGAACAGTTCTCGCCAACGTGGRGCTCCGTGGTCAAGCAAGAGCAGCGCGCTTTGCTTTTTGCTGTTGCTTATTTATTGAGTTTGCTTGGAAATGGCAGGAAGTGTTACACGTAATCTGGTAGCTAGGGGTCACCTTTAAGAGAATGTTCTTAGCATAAAAACAGTTCACTAACCTGAACAGAAAAAAAAAAAAAAAAAAAAAATTCTTGCAGTTCAGACACTGCAAAGAGGAGATAGAGGTTAGACTTGAGTTCCCAGTTCTGTCACACAGACTTTCTGTGTGACCTTGGGCAAGCACCTTCATTCCTCTGTACCTCTGCTC